GATTTATCTCCTCAGAATAACAAGCAGCAAAAAAAAAAAAATACATGAAGAAAATAAAACCTCATCTACAGTTAGGATTAAATACTCAATGACTCCAATCAATTATGAAACACTGTCTTTAGAAATTGAAGTATCAGGAAATTTATCATGAATGGAACCCAAGAATATTAAAAACAAGGTAAAAAAGTTTTTCTTTCACTTGCTATTTGCAAAGATTTTCTAATTTGGATAGTTCTAGACCAAAAAATGGAGGAAAAAAGTATTAAGTATTATTCAAAGGTTATTGAAGTAAAAAATAACAATAACCATACAAAATTATGACAATATCTTCTTCCATCATGAGGCGATATCTTCTCATATGCATATCATCATGGTTTATCAATGGCTTCATCACCATCTTAAAACAGATAATAGCGAAATGTTTTGATTAAAAAAAATATCCGTTCATCAGTACTCTTACTGGGTACGAAATATTCTGTTAGTAAGTTTTGGAGACAACTCCTGAGCCACTTCACTTGCTATTCACAACAAACTTTTCACTTTTCTACCTCATGGTGCATACTTAAAAAACTTCAGCTGTGTTTCAAGATGTAAGATCCCTTTTCATCTTCCTTGATTAATAAGAATACAATGCTTTATCAAACTTCTCCATAAAAAAATGAACTTAGTAAGAAATTGTTTGCAAAAAGTCACAAACGAAAACACTATCACAGTAATTAACAAGTTATAATTAAATAGGCAGTCATTCTGAATCTTAATTACGAGCTGAATCAGAAGCATAATCTGACGGATATGGAGATGGCTGGTTTTGAAACTTTTTGGCTGAAGGATAAGGCAGGACTTGTAGCATATTGTCATTTTCCAAAAGCTTATAAGACATGGATTTTTCTTTAGTTAGTGAAAAAGTTTACTTAAACTCAAAACTGAATTTTCAAAATTTGAGATGAACCGGTTCTCAGCTAGATCATATAATAAATATAATCCAATTTTTTTAGTAACTAAATATGCAGTATTGTTCTAATCAGATTGTTGTACTTATCAGATAACAGTGGAGTTTAAAAAGTCTTTTAGCAACTTTATATATTTTTTTCTTGTTTCTACCAACAAAAAAAAAGTCTTTCTTACTTATATAAAAATTAGAATGCAAAAAAAGTCACGACTTTTTAAAAAATCAAAAAAATTTTTAACTATGTCTATTAAACAGAAATACTAAATAGATATAAAGTACTAATTTCAAAAAATAATTGAATTTTTATTTGATTTCTTTTGTAAATAACTTATGCACATTTAAATTTATATAATTACTTATTTTATAATCAGCCAACTTTCGCTTACCTATTTGACCTGTTTCACATCAATTTAGCTAAGGGTTATAGAAAATTATACACAAATAATTATTTGACTCTACTACCAAAGCAAAATTATAAAATATATCATACTAAATTCAAAAATTTGATAACAAATTCTAAAATTGACTGCCTGTCATTAATAGTGCCAAGGAAAGAAAATAAATTTTTTAGAGTATTCTCACATATTTGCATCTCTTTAAAAAAATCTACAGTTATTACTTGTTTGTAGGTAAACATTTGCGACAAAGTTTAAGTAAGCTTGCATAAAAAAGTTTATATTGTTTTATTATTTTATAAAGCCTCTATTTGTGCTCTCACTAATTTAAAGTCTTTTAAAAAAAACTGAATTTATTCTTGTTTAATTTAATGATTTAAATCATTAACATCGTACAAAAATCTGATTTAAAAAGTTTCATACACAAAAGAACTCATATTTTAGTACCATATAAAACGTTTTGCCATTTTTAAACAAAAATTTTTGTTAAATTAATTTTTTTCTTTGTATCAAACATTAAAAAGCATACACAATTTGAAGTAAAACATATTAAGAAAACATAAGGTAAACTAATACAAGTAAATGCTGATTAGTTTATTGAAAATCTGAAAAATACATTGATTGTTAAATATATAATCTGGGACAATAATGAATACTTTTTAAGTACTCAATGAATACTTTTTAAGAAAATCAAGATTTATTTATAGTTGAATTTAATTCTAACAAGGTATCTCATTTTCACTCTTTTTGTAGAATATACAATATATTCATTATACTGCAAAGATCCTGCATGATCTGGATTTTCCAACAAAGGACCAACAGGAACCTTAGCTTCAGATCTGAAATTAAAGTAAATTAATATTAAGGCTATTGTTAAAGATATAAAAAAATAAATTATAACAAAAAACTTGTAAACCCACCAAATATTAAAAAGAATATTCTTCCCACAAAGAAAAAAATACCCATAGTACTTTTAACTGTACTTTAATAGTAGTAGTAATAATTTTACTGTACTCTGATATCTTTCTGAATAATGTACAATTTAGCATAGTTTTCATTAAAATTTATTAATTATAGATTAATGACTTTAGAATTATAGATTAAAAAAGATTGTACAGTGCACACACAAAAAAATTTTGACACTTTAGTAATAGTTCGCTAAATTATAGCTTATGAATCTTAAAATCTTGAAAAAAGGTGGTTAGTAGCTGAAATCAGGAAAAAATGGTCCCAATAATTTAGGCAAAGAAGTGTTTTTAAGTATGGGTTTCTTAATGTTAACTTCAATGTCTACATATTTTGAATTACTGAAAAATATTGATCTTGAATAAGAAATTTTTAATTGTTTAATTTGCTTATTCAAAAATAATTCAACGAAATTTTTTTTTTCCATATCTCCTATNTATATAGACATTATTCTTTCATAATTTAACACTAGAAGCACCATTGGGGTCATTTTGATCATTATTTGCCATTTCTTATGCTGTTTTTGCAGATATACACATGAGCTTCAAAGTTTACATTTCTTTTACTTTTACTAAATTGATAAGTATAATACTGTATCAAAATTTTATGCATTTATGTTCATTACTAAAATAAATAATCATAGCACTACCTAAAACCTCAAAAAGGGGTCATTTTGAACTTCATAAGAAAAACATCAATTTTTGAAGTTTCATGCCAGTTTTTGATTTCGCAAGACTTCAAAACTTGTGAAAGTGATTTGTAGAAGAGAAATTGAGGTCCACCATGTGGTAAAATTTTTTTCAATTTTGAGGAAATAGTTTATATCAAGTCTTAAGTTTAGTTGTATTGCCTTCCCCCTGCATATACTGCTCATGTAAGTGTACCCACAATTTTTCTATCTCACTCAGGTTGGGGCTACAGGATGGTATTCATAATATTTTTTTACAGTGTTATATTACTTTTTTTAGATTCAATATCAGACATTGTAACATTAACGTCAAATTTTCTTGTTATTAAATGTTTTCTGTTACAGAGTGTGTTGGTAAATTTGACTAATCCACCTCAAAAAGTATGAAGATTTACTCATGTAACATAAATTTAAGAAAAAGAACAAACAAATGAATGAAACAATTTATCCCAAAGAACATCGTTTATCACATTGTTGCACCAATGTATGACTCAAAATTTATAGAGGTGACTGTATCAAATTTATAGAGGTGAGTGTATCAAATTTGCATATTGGATTCACTTGATGGTTAAAGGGGGAAAAAATATATCTGCCTTACGCAATCACAATAAGAAAAATTGAACATTTTAATAAGGGGTGATTAAATTAATAAGGGATGAAAATTATTAAGGGATGAATATTGATGCTAAAAAAAGAAAAAAGAATCAACAGATTGTTAAGAACAATTAATTGATAAGAATAAAAATTTAAAAAGGCACTAATAATCAAATTGAACCAATAATTAAAAGTCAGGAAATAAAAAAGTGGCAAAGAATGCTCAGAAAAAAAATCAAGTCACAATTCTTCATTGCTTGATTTTAAATGAAAATAAAGAAAGTAGAGAACTAATACACTATTAAATTACTCAGGTAGGTAAGAAACATAATAATGCTCAGAAATTTAAATAAGTAGAGTTGTATTTGTAAAAGGCTATATTGAGTATTTCTAAAGGGGAGAGAGTATAAATCCTCCAACTGAATAAGGTGAAAACTTACTGTTGAAAGAGTACCCTGGTGGATGGAATTCTACAAGCAAATGGTTTGCTCAACCATTATTCAAAGAAAATTGTTCTTAAAAAATTGCTAAAGAAATCATCTTTGGCTAGAATAGAATTGGCTAGAGACAGTTCGATGAAAGATTAAAGCTGTGATGAACTTGAGAACCGTGACTACAGAAGAAACTAGTTTTTTACTACCATTTCTTTCACTACTTGGGAGACTATCCAGTATTGACTGTGCCATTGATAAAAATTATTAAAAAATTTTAAATTTTAGTAGAGACTTTTAAAACAAATTTTGGGAGAAATGGAAAAGAAAACTATTTTCAAGTCAGGAGCTGTAAATCTGGGTAAAGGTAATAAGAGCATGAGTTCTGAAAACCTTAATGTCTAATAAATCTCCAATAAAATTAAGAGGTGCATAGTTAATTCCATTTGAACTTTAATATTGCACTTATTATTTCAACACTTTATAATGGCACTTAAATTGTAAATCAAATGTTTATTCATTTTGAACTTTTTTTGATTTATAGAAATTATATTACAAGAGGCAACAAATAGAATGTGTGTTTGTTCAGAATATAATTTGCTAAGGAAAAGGTTTGGATTTTAAAAATTGTTTAGTAAATCTCCATTCTGATTTGATTAACTCATTTAACTTCAATTTCAATAATTTTATTTACAAAATGGTAGTCTAATAGTTAGTTTTAACTGATGTTATTAAATTATAATCTTTAACTCATTTAAAGTTATTTAATAAAGCATACAAATCTAAATTTTATAATATTGCTACTTCACATTTAAGAAATACATTACAGAACCCATTATCCGAAAATCAGAAAACCGGAAAACCAAAAAAACAGAACGAAATTCTATACATTTTCCCGCCGTTTTCTAATAAATTTAAGAAGGTGAGCTTATTATTAAATCAAAAATCGATGAAGACACCAATATTGATGAAACAGACAAATTTCAGTATTTAGTACAGGCTACTATTGCAAATTCCAGAGCTCACATATAAGTAGAAAGATTCCCCCCCCCCCATTTTCTGGAAACTATGCAAATGCAAAAGCATATGCCACTTTCATTTTTCAGCAAGCAGAATTGCAACACCAAAATGCAGTTAAATTTGTGCAGTCTCGTGCCTTTGAAAGTCATAACAATTCCATGCTTTGAACTGTAGGCATGTTGTATTGGATCTACAATGAGTGCAAATATTGTTGAACATAAAAAACCTGGAATATTTTTAAGTTTTCTATTGGACTGATTCATCAACCGCTCTGAACTGGATAAAAAGAGAGTCTCCATGGGCAACTTTTGTGTAGAATCAAGTCCAAAAGATACACATCTTTACAGATGTCAATAAGTGGAAATTTGTTCTTGGTAAACTAAATCCAGTCGACTTTTCTTCAAGAGGATGTACAGCAGAACAACTTATACACTTCAAATGGTGGGAAGGACTTTCATTGATGTATGACAGAGGTAGCCAATGAAGATCTGATAAATGCTCAGAAGAGAAAAACTGTAATCAATGCACAATCACATTGAAAAAACTAATCATTGATATTTTGATACTCTCATCCCAAGAGAGTGCAAACACTTGTTTCGAATTGTCAATTTTGCAACAATCATCGAAAAATCAATCTTGGTTTATCTCCTATTCCTTCGTGAACAGAAATAAAAACTACAGAAAATCTATTATTGCTACTGATACAGAAAGAAGTTTACAATGGTTCTACGGATCGAAGCTTGCATCATCTAAACATTGTGGCTGATGAAGGTGGCCTACTCTAAGCGAGAATCCGAATCGTTTATCACCAAGATACCAAAGACTTCAAATACTCAATATTACAAGGGGATCATTCAGCTGTAGTCTAATTTATCTTTTACAACCACAAAAGTTCATGTACTGTGGAAATCAGATTTTGTTGAAAAAAATACATTTGAAAAATTTTGAACTATTGTGTAAGACATTTCAATGCTTAATATGAAGTAATCACTTCCAAAAGAATTTCTCCATGTTGGAAGTGGAGTGAAAAATGAGTGAAGGCTGTTGGAGTGAACATAACTGAAGAGATGGTTCTAAACAGGAATTATACTTTTCACATGTGCTGTCTATCGAGGAATACACCTTGTACTCCAATCCACAATGACAACCAAAAGGTTTAGAATGCCCTACGGCATTTCATTGTATGTGTTGCTCTCCACCAGTAATATATTTAGATAATAAGACAAATTTTGGGGGAATGGGATACTTGAATCTAATGATTGGAATCATGTCTACGAGGAAAGGAAGAAAACAGATATCATTTGGAAATTTATACTGGCATCAGCACCCTGGTGGGGTGGCTGGTAGAAATGTCTCATTCCTCTAGTGAAAGATCTACTAAAAAGAGTGTTAGGAAGAGTTTGTCTAAGATACAAAAAAAAATGAATACTGTTCTCTGTGTGTGACTTCTTGACCCAAGACATACCTAGCAGAAGATGATCTATAGCCTTTAACACCTCCATGTTCTTCAGAGAGCATAAGACAGTTGGTTACAGATTTTGAAAATTTGGAGATGTTGGGTAGCAGTTTCAGACTTAAATGCAACAACTAAGGAAAAAAAAAGAAAAAAAAACAGGAAAGCCCGCAAACTCAAGGTAGAAGAAATAGTCATAATAGAAGTGCCAATCCAGAAGCTGCTAAACTGGCCATTAGGAATAATGCTTGAACTAGGCCATCTTTTCTTGGAAATACATCATTTTACAAAAGAGAAAATGAAGAACAGAAGTTCCTGAGGCCTGCGCAACAACTCTATACTCTTGAAGTACAAGCACAATCAGAAGAGAATTTAAGAGAAAAGTTATACTTTGAATGTGAAAGTGCGACTGAGACTGGAATTAAGAAAATTAACCCTTTTTTGTTTGATCCTGATATAATTGAAACATCTGGCCTTACTCCAAGTACAAACCAAAACCTGTTTATCCCATAAAATCAAAGTTCTCTAATGATTGAGCTTGAAAATTGACTCATACAAAATCTTGAGTATTATTTGAGTTAAAAACTCAAAAGGTGGGAATGTCACATAAGTTTTAAATGACATCATGATAGCAAATATTATTCTGCTATGCATAAAAGGAAACATTTTATATTTTTGTAAATAAAAAATAATTGATAGAATATGCTGTTCTCATAAATTTTACTTTTAAAAGTCATTTTGTAAGGTTAAATATTTGTTCCAAACAATCAGTAAAAGAATCTGACTTATATCCATTTTTTGCTGTATAAATTTCCAAAAGACATCCGTTTTTTGAGGTATAAATTTTCAAATAATATCAGTTTTCTTTCCTTCCTCATTGACATGATTCCAGTCCATAGATTCAGGTATTCCATTGGCTGCAACAAAATTTGTCCCATTATCTGAATATATTACGGATGGAGACCCACAGAGTGCAATGAAATGCTGTAAGGCTTACAAAAAACTTTAGGTTGACATTAAGGATCAGAGTACAAGGTGTATTCCTCAATCGACAGAATATGTGAAGAGTACAATACCTGTTTTGGAGCAATCTCTTAAGAATAATAGACCAGCTATGTCCACTCCAACATCATTCACACCACTTCCAACAAAATGTTGAAAATGGGGAAATTCTACTGGAAATGATTACTTCATATTTAACATTGAAATGTCTCACAAAATTGTTCAAAATTTTTTCCAATAGATTTATTTCCTTTCAGTAAACAATACTTTTCTCGCAATTGGGTTAACAAAAACTGATTTCTACAGTGCATAAACTTTTAGTGGTTGTGAAGGATCAATTTGACAACTGCTGAATGGTTTCCTGGTAATATTATTGAGTACTTGAAGTCTTTGGTATTTTGGTGATTAATAATTTGAGTTCTAGCGGAATAGGCCATTTTCATCAGTCACAAGGTTTAGAGGTTGCTAGCTTGAATCCGTAGAACCATTGAAAAGTTCTTTCTGTATCAAAAACATTGGTAAATTTTTTGCATTTTCTATTTCTGTTCATGAACGAATAAGGATAAACAAACATTGATTTTTCAACGATTGTTGCAGAACCAACAATTCCAAGCAAATGTTTGCACTGTCTTAGAATGAGATTATCAAAATATCAATCATTAGTTCTTTTCAGCATGAGTGAGTTGATAACATAGTTTTTCTCTTCTCAGCATTTATCAGATCTTCATTTGCTACTTCTATGTAATAAAGCAATAGAGGTTCCTCCCACCATTTGAAGTGTATGAATTCTTCAGCTGTACATCCTCTGGAAGAAGGGTCACTGGATTTAGTTTACCGAGAGCAAATTTCCACTGATTGACATCTGTAAAGATGTGTATCTTTTGTGCTTGATTCTACACAAAAGTTACCCAGGGAGAATCTCTTCTTATCCAGTTGAGCGTGGTTGATGAATCAGTCCAATAGGAAACTTTCAAATATTCTAGCTTCATATCTTCAACTACATTTGCACCCATTGTAGATCCATTACAACATGCCTACAGTTCAAAGTATGGAATTGTTATGACTTTCAAAGGCACGAGACTGCACAAATTTAACTGCATTTTCGTGTTGCAATTCTACTTGCTGAAAAATAAAAGTGGCAAATGCTTTTGCATCACAGAACACATGAAGACTGCCAGTTTGTTCATAACTTTGACAGAGTTTTATCCTTCGAGGTGCTTTGACTTCCTACAGGTACTGTACTTTTGTAAGCCAGTTTAAAATCCACCCATGCAGACCTTCAGAGAGAATATCATCTCATTTTAATCCTAGGTTATAAGATTCTTGATGCATAAGCTTTGGAATGATGGTCACTGGAGTAGATATGCAAAGTAGGTCAAATATAATTTGTGCTAAAGAGAGTAGGGCTCTTTTTGTAAGAATCAAATCCTTCTCTTTTGGGTAATTAAACTTGCAAGATAGAATATCATCTTATATGTTCCAATTCAGGCCTAATAGAGGCACAACTTAGCTCTAAGATCTATCCAGGAATTTTATATCAGCATTTGATTGTCAATCTTCTTTCCGAAGGACATCAATACTTTTGATACAAAAATAAACTTATTAGCTTTACCAATGCTCTTTAAACTAAAGACACAATGGACAATTACAGTCAATTTTTTTTAATAATCTTAATACATAAATGAATCCCTCAAAATCACCAGAAAACATTTTAATACTTTTCTAAGAGTGATAATTATTAAGTTTTTTTCAAGCAAAAATCACTTTCGTTTCATCGAAAATAGGGAAGTCACATGATCATTCATGAACTGACATCACGAGCTGACATTCCTTTACAATTGCGGTGCTGTGAAAGTCACTGCGTTCTTACTTTCATTTGAATTTTTGTAATTATATCTAACAATTTTAAATGATAAATAACTATGTGAGAACAAAGACAATTATGTTAAATTGTGCCCTAATGCTGCTTCATAAAAATGTGGCTTAAAATGACGTATTTTTATAATATTTTCTAATAATAATAACATATAATTTATAAGGTACTCATTGAAACATTGTTAATAGTAGATGGTTCTGAATACTAAAGATTTTTTAGTTCAGTAAAAAATAGGTAAGAATGAGTTATGGGTGCCTGATATTATTTAGTAAAATGATAAATTATAAATACAAATTAATTTGTTTTTTCATTTTTTTTAACCATGTTAATCTTAGTTTTAAGGTATAATTCTAATTACTTTCATGCGAAGAGAAAAAAATTTAGAATATTTTTTTTTAATATTGAATAGTTTTAGATTTTAAAAATGTAGAAAAGCTTAAGTTATTGTTTTTCTTTTTCCTTTTTTTTTTTAATTCTTAGCTTGAAATATAGAAAATGTATAATTCATACTGCTGAGAAAGATTCAAATAGTTTAAAAAGAAACTATATTGCAAAGAAAACTTACTTTTCTTAATGGGAATGCAAATGGTAATAAATCTATAAAGAGACAACTTACGAAAGCGCTCCATGCTGAAAATCAGAAGGGGAAAGTCTTCCTTTTCCAATAACAGTGTCAAAATCTTGAGGAAGAAGTTCAGGCATCTTATCTTCAGCTTCATATAAAGGATATGGTTTCCCAACTGATACCTGTTTTTAAAAAATAGATAGGTAAGAACAAAAATGTATAAGTTTACTAAAAGGTTTTGAAGGTAGATAGGAGATTATTGCATCTTGTTAACATAGCTACAGCCTTCAAATATGACACTGTGATTTATTATCTTTTAAATACTTCTTATTAATTTTGCGATTATTTTATCAATGTACAGTGTGTAAGACAGCAAACAAAACACTCTGAATAACTTTTGATCCAATGATCAGTTTTTCACATACCAGGACTCAAAAGGGCCAGACCTTAACTATGCTAATTAGTTATGCAATATTTTAAGTTACTAAGTCTGACACAAAAACACACTTTCTCTAAATTAACATACCCTTTTTTGAGGGATTCAGATTCTGAACCTTCAAAATATGAAGAGTAGGTGCAATCTTGAAGATATGGTCTCCATAATTTGCTCAGGAGAGAGATCCAAAGTTATGACCCCTTAATATTAATTTTACTTTTTGCATATATCAACATAATTCAAGAACATTCTAAAGGAAATCAAACAATTTTGCACAACATTATAAAATTTGCTTGTCAAGAGATAATTCTATGCAAAAAAATAAATTTAAGTTAAAATTTATTATCTCGTGTAATAATAGTCTAAAAAATTTAGAAATGTAAGGTATAAATTTTTTCCAGTCATTTTAAAGTAGGTAATTTTACCTGATAAAATGTGAAAATTACATGAAAAAAAAATCAGTCAAATAGTTCCTCAAATATCAAATTTCAAAAAAGTTGTACAGTTAGATTGGTCAAGATAGCGGTTCAAACTTGGACTGCTTCTCTTGACCAAAATATAGGAACCGTATTTAAGAGATTGCGACTAGCCCCTATATTTCCGAGGCCAGAAATCTGAATCCGTCGGGGGAAAAAGGTATGTTTATTCAGAGAAAGTACGCTTTTGTGCCTGATTTCTTAACTTAAAATATCATCTTCACTAATTACTTAGCACATTTGAGGTTACCCTCTCGAACCATTAAGATTGAGTCTTAGAACGTAAAGATTCGATCATTAGATCAAAAATCCGGTTGATTATGTCACACTGTACACTGATTTATATACATATATATTAATATACATACTTCAAAGCTTTAATTTTGTAAAATTGCAAAAAATCAGGCTTGCATTAAATTAAAATTTACTGTACAATATATTGCTATACAATATATTACTGTTTAATATATTGCAGTGAGCAAAATGCCGGACAACAGTTAATTGTTTTTCATCAGCTACCTTTCATATAGTTTACAAATTAAAAATGTTACTTCTGTAAACAAGACTAATGCACAGAGAGGTACTACTTAGTTAAAATGACCAAAAGTTGTAAGACTTAGTTATTATTTATAAAGATTTCTTTTTTCTTAAAAAAAACCTCTAAAAATCCATAAAATGAAATAATTAATCAGTTTTTCTAAAAAGAACTAAAATAATGCAGCAAAAGAACAAAAAGAATCCTGAAAACTGAAATTCAAAAGTCATAAAAATCTAACCCTTAGTTATTACATTTAATTTATTCAGTACAATTATAAAACAAATTTATCGAAATAAATTTTTTCATTTAATGAATTTAAGAGAAGTATATGGTTAATATAGCAACATACATGAATAACAACTATTGTAGCCTAAAAAAATGCTTTATGATATAATAATGGATGCCATGAAAATGTGCATAAATTAGTAAAATAATTATCAGAATATGCACTATTATATATTGGTGAACTAAAAGTACCATTGAAACAAAAATGTATATTAAATATTAAAATAAATTTACATAAATTCATGCAGTAAGCATATGGGCAACTATACAGTTCTGTTCGCAAGCGAACTCATTCAAGAAGGAATTGAGAATTATTGATGATAGACATGGATATTTTATGCCGTTCTTAAGATATTTTTTCCAATTACAAATAAAAGTCCATCTTGTGTCTTGCAAAAGTCATTGAGAGGTGCAAATTTTTCTTTAAAACAAGAAAATCAGTTGTGGACAAAAAAAGTTGTACCCTATCATGCCAAAGTAAGAACTCAACTATAAAGTCTATTTCCCTTTCAATGAAATAAAAATTAAGAACCAATTATCTGACAGTGCTTTTTGACATAATATAATGAAATTATTTTTATAGAAAAATCTTCTAGGTGCATTTTAAACCGACTTATTTATAGAACTTATTATAATAAAACGAAAAGAAAGAATGGTACCAAATTCTACCTCACACATGATGAGAAGACCTTCATTTTTCTTCTTTGTAGCATAACAATAATTGGCACTTTTGCTACTCACATCAGCAAAGTATATACCTTTACCAAACATATAGCCGGTTTTTGGAGCTTCTGGTGGAGCAATTCGAAGTCCATCTTTCAAAATTCCAAGCCAATTTATAATCCTAGATCCATGCCACAATAAAAGTTTATTTTCATGATTTATAAAAGCTTTTTCTTCATGAGGTTTAAAACATTTAAAAATGCTAACTATCTCCATTTCATAAGAATTATGGGTGGGTCCATGGGTTTCTAGAAGACATTTTTGAATTTCCTAAAAGATTCCACATTTAAAGTATTAAAAAGTAGTAATGATGCACACCAGAAAGCAAGAAATAAAATATTCAAGCAGATTTATAAATGACTTAGTTCCACGTAGATTATATATATATATATACACTTAAAATCCAAAACATTATGACCACCTACTCAATAACGTATTGTGCCACTTTTGGCGTTCAAAACAGCTACAACTCATTATTTAGGCATGTATAATAGGAGTTCCTGATAGACAGCTGGAGACAGGTCATACCAAATATCGAACCAGTGATCACGCAAAGTCAAGATATTCCATCATGGTAGCGATTAACCACTTGCGCTGGAAAAACTTGCCACGCACGTCACAATGCTTTTGTCACAGAACCGCCGCCGACGTGATATTTACGTCATCATGTAATTGTTACAGAAACAAAAACGACATGCGCGGCACGTCAGGTGGAATTGTTGTCAGAGGACAGATCATCAGTGCACTGCATAGCGTACAGTTATAAATACACAGTCCAGTCCCATTAATGTGACCACAACCTACTTTCGACAACAACGTGAAATAACCAATCACAAAAGGCAGGTGGCAGCACATCACAGTGGAGTTTATGTATAGTATGTCCTAGGGCATCGGAAAGCATTTAAATCGTTGGCGTAATGCAGAAATGTAGCGATTTATCCGACGTCCAAAAGGGCATGATTATTGGTTTTCGGTCCAAGGGTGAAAGCATTTCGGAAACGGCTGATTTTGTGAACTGTTTGCATGCCGCCGTGGTTAAAGTATACCGTTCCTAGCAAAATGGCACTATGCAAAACAAGCGGCGTGGCACATGTGGTGCACCACGGGCCATAGATGACAGAGGCGAACGAAGGTTACGAAGATGCATTCAGGCGAATCGACGTGCAACTGTTGAGCAACTGACCGCCCAGATGAACCAAGGGGCTACCAAGATTGTATCCTCAACAACGGTTCAGCGAACGTTGCTGCGCATGGGCCTCCGCAGCAGAAGCCTGGTTATTGCACCTATGCTGACTGCTGTTCATCAGTGACGAAGGCCGGAATTAGCACGCCAGTACCGTAACTGGACGTCCACAGAGTGGCAACAGGTGACTTTTTCCGATGAATCACGTTTTATGCTCCATCGGACAGATGGACGTTGGCTTATACGGCGTGAAACGTATGAAAGCAAACATCCTGCAATAATTGCCGGAAGGCTGCAGGCTGGAGGAGGAGCATTATGGTTTGGGGAATGTTTTCCTGGCTATCAGTGGGTGCACTCATCATTGTGGAAGGCACGATGGATCAGCACAAGTACGCATATGTCCTTGCGGACCATGTCCACCCCTACATGCCATTGATTTTTCCTCAGAATGATGCCATCTACCAGAAGGACAATGCGAGGTGTCATAAAGCTCAGTGTGTGTGCATGGTTCGAAGAGCACCAGGATGAATTTACCGTACTCCCCTGGCCAGCAAACTCACCTTATTTAAACCCAATCGAGAATCTGTGAGACCACCTCGATCGGGTTGTTCGCGCCATGGATCATAAACCGCGTTATCTAGCGCAGCTGGCAACGGCACTGGAGTCAGCATGACTCAACATCCCAGTGAACACCTTCAGAAACCTAATTGACTCTCCTTCTGCACGTCTCGCAGCGGTCCACTCTGCCAAAGGTGGTTATTCTGACTTTTGACAGGTGGTCTTATTAATGTGACTGGACTGTGTATTTAACCCACATTCTAAAATGGAAAGCAAAAGTGACGTTAACGACATCATTTTGACAAATGTCAATAGAAAAATAAAACACGATGTAATGATAGTGACTTTGATGAAATAATTTTTCCACTCTGAAACCGACGAAGAATTTTTTCTGATGACGAGGAAGAATACATAAATGAAGATTGTGAAATTGATCTTATTCCTAAGAAATGGGTGTTGAAACACGCATTGCACAGTGCGCACTGCCAGCGAGTTATACTGGACCATTTTGGTACACACACCAGTGATTTTTTTTGCCAGCGCAAGTGGTTAAACTCTGAGCCGTCTTTGTATGGAATCCCAAATGTGCACTATTAGATTAAGATCCAGCAATTTTTTTGTACAATATACACATAGATAACAGACAACTTTTAAAAAAAGCAAACAAATTTAAAAAAAAAAATAATTAACTACTTAATTAAAGTAAAGACAAATTTTATCATAAAAGAATAATAAAATACGCTTGAATAATTTTCAAATTTGAGGCATTTTAGAAATTGAAATAGATTTAAAAATAAAATTATAATGGATCATTGTTGGTGATTAATATCGATTCTTATACGTGCCTTGCAGATGTTTTAATAGTGAATATCAAGTTTGAAGAAACTTTAGACTTGTGGGATATCTTATAAATCATAATTAGGCTAAAGAATATAGATCAACAGGTGACTAGACAAGTAAAAGGCTAAACAATTTTACATAATTAAATTTTTTTTCGCCGTAATGTTAACATTTTAGGCTTAAGATGCCATGGCTCTTATATAATTCACAGGCTTAAATTGTATATAACAAGCAGGTAATTAAGCTTCACTAATTAACTTCAAAAAATTGGTAACAGAATGGACAACATAAAAAATACACCTTGAGAAAATCTAAAAAAATTCAAAAGTTATCTTTCACCTTAAGATTTTTTTTTTTCAAATGATTGTTCCCAGATACTGAATCACGAAGGCAATATTAAAAAGTTGTAGTATCCTCTACTGAGAAATTTTTAAAAAAATGATCATCTTTAACAACAGACCTGACAGTAACTGACCAAACACTTCTCTTGTACAACACAAAACAATATGTACCAAGAAGTTAAAAAAATTCAAATATGTTTTCTTAAATTATTATAAATGAATTTTTTAAATTACATAAGTGTTTTGAAATTTTTTTACTTATTAAAAATTTTCGAAAGATTAAAAAAAAAGAAAAAGAATTTTTTTTAAAATATTATACACAATAATTATTAATCGTATGTATTTTTGGAAATTTCAAATATCTAAGTTAATAAACTATAAAATTAAGTAATAAAAAATATTCTATTGTCGGATACCAAAATGCATTCAAATTTGAAATCTACCCTTAATATATTTTTTATTTCAAAGTTTTGCTTTGTTTCGTCAGAAAGTTGTAACAGTTTCTAGTGTAATTCCGTTAATGGATCAATCAACTCATAATAAAATAAGATCAATTTATAAAAAATTCTTATAGTACTGTTTCATTTAGAAAAATAACAAGTACCAATCAATTAATATTCCCTCATATCAACATTTAAACTTGCAAAGAAGTTCAAGACAAATTCTATAATATGATTAAAATCAATCATTTTTTAAATCAGACAAGTCAATAATTATTCAACTATAAATAGGGTTTGTTACTGCATTTGCATGAATAAGCATATACTTAGTCAACCACAAAGAACATATCAGGTATACCAGGTGTTTTTATCAATATGAATGACAAACAATTCTGGGAAATTTTTTAAAAACACAATTAAGTGAGATTCAATGCATTAATGGTGGAATCAAAATTTTAAATAAGGAAAAAATATATTTATACTAATGAAATACATATTTTTGATGTGAAATAATGTGTAGTAGGAGAGGATTCACTAAAATTTAGGTGATTTGTAATCAATTAAAAAGGCGAAAGATTTTAACATTTTGTCTTATTATACTATATCTAATTTAGCAGTTGGTATACCTGATATACATATCCTTACTTTTGTAAAAAATCTAATACTAATAAAACTTTATAAATCATGCAAACCTTAAATTCAAGAGAATCTGGTTCTACTAGATTAAGAGAACAATTTAATGATTTATAGTATCTGTCTAATGGATGAGCAGTAGCATCTGTCTCATCATTCATGACCTTCATAGCTACACGAATATTGATCAAGGCCTGAAAAAAATTTTACTAAATATTATCTCTCTGATAACAAATAAATATTAAAAAATTAGCTTATTGATAAATATAACATCTTAATTTAAATTGGTAAATTAAATCAAAATGCATACTTCCAACATTTCTTGTTTCTGATCAAGCTCCTCTGATGTTCTAATTATAGGTGGTCTCTTCATGCTACAAATAATCAAATCAAAATAAAACTTAATTTCATTAGTAAATTTACACTTTCATTAGTAAATTATACTGTAATGTAATAACAAATACACAGTTAACACCATAGTATCTAAACACTGTAATAGATAAACAAAACTAAATTTGCAATTTATTTCTAAAGCACAAAAAATATATATAAGATTTATATTTTTTATTAAACACTTGAATATTATGTATTACTTGAGTGCTGACTTGAGTAACTTTTAACTATTATATTTAAAAAAAAGATTTATGTTTAAAAAAATACTTAGAAGATTGAAGGTGTATTAGTATGCAATACTTTAATCGATGACCATAACTTTATAGCAACAGACAATGATTTCATATCTGAAGCACCTGAAATTGTAAAATTAAATAAAATTTTCATTTCCTGGTGGACAGAATGGCACTCTTATGATATCATTAAAAAAAACTGACTTTTGCGCAAACAGTGTATAAGTATATTACAGTAAAACCTCATTAAGTCGTCACCCTGATAAGTCGTTACTCCGCGTAAGTCGTCGTTTTCCTGTGGTCCGACTAAGCCTCATAGACAATAATGTAAAATAACCCTCTTTTACCCGTCATCGAATTTAACTCTACTCCGAAAAACTCGTCACCCCAAAAAAATGGCAAACCTACCTTTTTTTGCACTTTTGTATACTGTTATCTTTTCAGACCCGCCCCTTTCACTTTAAGAATATCGAGGAATTTCTGACCACCCACGAAGTTCGCTATACAGCTGTGAGCATTCCTTTCCTTTTAGGGGATTTGGATTCTTGGAATTTTGCATGCCAATCGTTCGAAGTTCTCACTTCTTGCTCCGACTCAGTCGAGTGTAGACGTTTTTCTTTATTGTACGTACTTTAGTGGGACTTCATTTCATAGCGAGTAAGCCCCGCTATAAGGGCCATTTTATTTTCTTACAAGATTGTGATTTGATTACGTTTCAAAATGCCGGGAAAACGAAAACTTACCTCGTTATCTCTTAAAGAAAAAAAGGACTTAATTGCACTTTTTGAAAAGTCAAATGTTTCAAAAACAGCTTTTGCCAAAGAACACAATATTCCGAGAACTACCTTAAGTGATATTCTATCATCAAAGCAAACCATTGAAGAAGCAGACTGCAAAGACAATAGAAAGAGAATGAGGAAATCAAAGTTTGACGAGATCGAGGAGATTTTAGTTCGATGGTTAAAGCATGCAAGATCGCAAAATGTGCCTATTTCTTCTGTCATTCTTAAAGAAAAAGCGATGGAAATTGCTAAGGAGTTGAACATAGAAGATTTCCATTGCAGCAATGGTTTGCAGGAGCGTTTCAAGGACAGAAATAATCTTTCTTTTAAAACGATTTGTGGGGAAGCCGCAGCTGTTGATGGTGATGCTATAGAAAATTGGAGGAATAGTGTTCTCAAGGACATTTTATCCAGGTTTGATGCCTCAAATGTTTTTAATCTAGATGAAACAGGCTTATTTTATCGTCTTTTGCCTGATAAAACTCTATCGTTTAAGGGCGAAAAATGCACCACTGGAAAAGCTAGCAAGCAACGTCTAACACTTTTGCTGGGAGCGAATATGAATGGAAATGAAAAGCTTAAACCACTAGTGATAGGCAAGAGCAAAAGGCCACGCTGTTTTAAAAACGTTAAATCTCTGCCAGTTGAATATGAAGCATATTCAAATGCATGGATCACTACAACGATTTGGGAATGGCATATCCGTAAATTGGATTCCCAGTTTTCGCCCCAAAAGAGAAAAGTTGCCCTTATTGTCGATAATTGCACAGCCCATAGTCAGCCCGAAAGCTTAAAAGCTATTGAAATCATTTTCCTTCCTCCAAATGTTACTGCACTTCTTCAGCCATTAGATCAAGGGATAATTCGGGACTTCAAAAGAAAGTACAAAAAAATGCTAGTAAAAGACCTGATAAAAGCATTGGATAAAAATGAAAAGTTTGAAGTTTCCGTTTTAGACGCGATCAATTATGTGCATAGAAGTTGGAGCTCAGTTTCTATGCAAACTGTTTTTAATTGCTTCAGACACGCGGGATTTGTAGCCAATGCAGAATTCAAAGATATCCTCAGTGAAGAAGTCGACCCCGAGCCATTAGAAAATTTGCTACAAGTTGTTAATGAAAAAGGTTGCAGTGTCAATGACGTAAATGCATTTGTCGATATTGACAATGGCATCGCTATTTGTTCACAAGCAACTGTAAAAGATTTAACTTCAGAATTTTTAGATGAAAAACAACACAGTTCCAGTGAGGATAGTGATGATGAGAATTCGTGTGGAATTCCGCCCAGCAAGACTGAAACATTAGAAGCCTTAGAGAAAGTTAGACGATATTTAACATCAATTGAAGGCACAACAGAGGAAGATTTCAAGGCGCTGATGATATTGGAAAAGAAGGTTAACAGCAATCAACAATTCCTGCATCAATTTACTATGTTAAGCTATTTTAATGCTCAGAAATAAAAATAAAAAGTGGTAACTATACAAAAGTATTTGTATTCCTTTCCTACACATTTATTTGCATGTGTATTACATTCTAAAAATCTAATTTTTCTCAACGAATCCTACTGCAGTCCATTAAAAAATTTCAATGTTTTTTTGTTTTTTTAAAGAAATTTCTAACTCCACTTAAGTCGTCACTCCGCTTAAGTCGTCAAAAATGTTCGGTCCCTTGAGTGACGACTTAGCGAGGTTTTACTGTATTTAGAAAAAGAATTCAGAAATGTATTTAGGACTTGTTATCTAATTTTTGAACATAGGAAGGAAGAAAGAAAGGAATTTTTGTTAATGCAAGATGATGTAGTATTTCCCTGATCATGTCTTTTAGAATATTTTAAGATTAATAGTTAGGATTTGAAGAGTTTCCACAGTAAAAAATAAGTTTAGTATTAGAATCCTCAATGTTACCAAATTCATTGAAGTATTACTTATTTCATTATAAAAATGGGTTGTTCAAGTAAAGAGTATTTTCAGTTGGAAGCTTTAAATAACAGAATAATAAAATCCTTAAAATTTAAATAAAATTTTTATAGTAAAAATATTGCTTAGAATACAATTTTCTAATAATTTACAGATAGGAATAATTTAAATAAGTTTAATTGCCATACTAAAAGCTAGAATTTTAATACAGATTAAAACTAACTACTTTGATTGCTAAAGCATTAAAAAACATGATATCAATAATAAATCAAAATTTAATTAAAGGAAGAAAGTAAAGCTTAAATGAAATAATTTTAATTATTTTATAATTACAGAAAGACATCAAAAAAGAAAAATTAAAAGATCTTGAATTTTATTTTATAATACAAACCCAAAGTTATGAGGAATTTTTGTGTAAAAGTCATTACAAGCTGCCACTAGTTCATTGCTACTTCCACCTCGTTGAAGAATTACTGCAATTTTATTCAAAGCAGCGTAACCCATTTTCACTTGTTGAGAAGTTAATTGTCCTTTAAAAGAAAAAATAATTTATTCATTTCATTTTCTTTTCTTTTTTTTAAATATTTACTAGATATATACTTTTTATCTCAAAAACAAAATAATTGTAAGTTATTGACACTTAAGCAAAGTTTTCCACACAATTAAAACTAAATAAACTTAAACTGAATTGCATTCAACTTAGTTTGAGAGCACATTAATGTGCCTTTAATTAGGACAGAAATGCAAGTATCTGTTTCTATGGAAAAGACATTGAAACTAGTTATAAATTTATATACAATTATTTTACTCATATTTTTTTAATCAAATTTTGATTACAAGAGCTCAGATTTCAAAGTGAGATTGATTTTGCATTTTTAGGACTTTGAGGCAGATATTAGTGATTTAAACTAAAATTCAAACAATTATCAGCTTAAATAAAGTAATTTTCTTTTATGTAGCTTAAAAAAAGTAGAACTGTGACACTGAGAAAGAGAAATGGTGAACTAACATGTAACAATACAGAGACAATGAAAAGATGGCGGGAACATTTTAAAGATGTGCTGTTTGGCAACGATGGCTCCGTTGAAAAAGTTTATGTTGAAATATCAGATACTCATGCGCAAATACAAGATGCTGATGTACCCACATTGTGTGAACTGGAGTATACTCTTAAAAAACTGAATAGAAATATAGAGCCCCTGGCCCAGGCGGCATTAAGGCCGAACTATTTAATGTAAATGCACCGGAGTTGAACAATGAGCTTTTAAAGGTCATTTGTGATGTGTGGATCTAAGAACAGATGCCCATTGAGTAGGAAGAGGGCTTGATTTTCACCATCCATAAAAAGGGAGACAAGCTGGACTGTCACAACTACTAAGGCATTACACTTTCGAATGTGGGTTTTAAGATCTTTTCCATCATCCTATTTCATAGACTTCTTCCATATGTTACGAAAATTATAGGAAAATATCAATGTGGTGAAGAACTAGAAGATGGAGACCAGCTACAAGATGGTTGGACAGTGTTGAGAAGGACTTAAAATTGTTGGGAATAAACGGGTGGAAAAATCTAGCTTAAAGTCACCCTGCCTGGAGGCAGCTAATTGAGAAAGCCTTGGCCTGCACTAGGCTGTAGTGCTGGCGAAGAAGAAGAAGAAAAAAAAAAGTAATTGGATTTTCTTAATTCAAAGTCTAAGGTATAAGTTATTTTTTGACAAATTTTTTGAAAATAAGGAATTTTTTAAAATAAGGTAAAAAATTGTTTTTAGGATAAAAAGAAATTAAAAAGAATTCTAAGAAATTTAGGAAAGAAAAAACATTGAAAAATTAAATAGAAGAAATTTTTATATTTCACTGCTAAGAATGCACCAAATATTCAATTTTCCGCAAACTTGCTAAATATTCTGTTAGACCAAACTATTTACTTTCTTGATTAATGAAATGATTTATTTATATATGGTATTTAAAGACTTAATGCAAAAAAAAAAGAAGAAAAATTTGGTACAGCACTTTACTGAATTACTTTATGGTACATTAAGTCTTATTCTAGCCTAGATCTGGGATAATCCAAGCCCCAACACTCTCCAAGCACCCTAAATTTTTAAGGTTCCTTTGTTTTGTTTTTCTTTAGGTTTACTTTACTGTGCCACCCAGCCACCCCCAGTGGCTGAGTGGAGCAGTTGGTTTGTCGTCGGCCTTCTGAGCCCAAGTCTGCGGGTTCGATCCCCGGCCCAGACACCAGATTTTCGGGATGCAGAAAATCCTCAGCGGCCATGTTATATGATTATGCGGCAAGTAAAAGATCCCTGGCGTGCCTCATTGGCTCTTGGCATTTCCGGCAAAATTAAATTCCAAGTGCACTTTAGCATCCAAATAGAGTCTCGGTGCTGCCATCTAGTGTGGCAGAAACTAGACGTCCAAATTAACATGACCAACAGTATCTCACCCATTGTGGTGGTCCTGAAAAGTGGATACCACCTCTGGAGAACGCACTAGGTCTGCTCATCGGCAAGATCAATTGTGCAGCTCATTGGAAAGAAAGAAAAAAGGTTTACTTTAATACCATTTAAGTTTGTTAGTTTAGGGCTAGCTGATGTGAGGGCAACTCTTAAGGGAAAAAGCAAAAAATTTTGTTGTTTTTGGACATATATCATTGCTGCACATCAGATGTATGAAACAAGTAAAGGAGAATTCAAAAGCAAAAGTAATTAGGATTGACAAACAAGGCATAGATGTAATTTAACCATTATAGAGTACAACAATAATTCTCCAGATAGTTGCAACAAATAAAGTTGATACCTTTCAATATAAGGCTGTTAATTGCTTAGGAATAGCAATATTTAACAGCAAGGGAATACCATGATTTATGTCTTAAATATAAAAAAAATTTGCATGGAAATTCTACATAATGATAAAAAAAAGTCTAAGAAACAGAAAACAACAGAAGTGATTTCGCAAATTTAGATTATAAAGAAAACATTTAGAAGCATCTGGATTTGCCTTTGTTGAGGATGACAATATGGAAGACAAAGCAAACAAGATAATCAAAGGAACATTTTTACTTATTAAATTCTTAGAAAAGAATTAAATATTTTTATGTTGCAGTGACACAATATAATTACAAATATGAGGATGAAATTCAGGCAATGTTAATGAATGCATGCAAAAATACAATATTGTATGAAGCAAATGAAACTGATATAATTTACATAAATTATGAACAAATTTAAATGCTATGCTGATTTAAATGCTATTTAAATCCAATGCTGAGAATAGTTAAAAAGAAGACAGAAAATTTTATAAGTTCTCTTATTCTGATATGTTTGAGAAATAAATTTATGATTCCTTGCTGCTTCTAATTTTAACTACTTTCAGAATAAAGGTACTTTATTCAATTTTTTCTTAATGTTCTTTAACTATAACACAGAATATTTTATATTTAAAATATATTTAAAAAATTATATTTAAATTATTATATTTAAAAAATTAATTATTATGTTTAAAAAATTGTGATAGCAAAGTTTGTGCTAGAAAAGTTCTTATAAGAGGTTACATGTTATTTTAATTATGAATTGTTATTATTGGTATTTTGTTGAGAAAAAAAATATATTGAACAAAGGACTAATGCTGAGGTAATATATAAACATTTATATTTTGATGAAGTATAATTTGTTGTAAATTAAGTGATGTTGTCCAGTAACAGAAGTTACAACTTCCTCTCAAGATATATTTAAAAAGGTGTGTATTAATGTCAATTAAATTTTTCTTCTGAAGCATATTTCATAGGCATTACATATACATAAATATGAAAATAAAAATAAATATGTGATAAAAACTGCACCATAAAACTTAGAAGTCTCAAAAGCACCAATTTTCACACACTTATTAATGGACTTTTCACACACTTATTTTGTGCATCAGTCCATTTCCAATTGGACTGATGCACAAAACACAATTTTTTTTTGTTTCATAGAATATTAATTATGAATTCTAGCATTGTATTACTGGAATAAAAAATCTTATCCAACAAATTCAACGAACATGATATTAAATAATGCATTGAAAACTAACACTGTGCAATAGTTAGAAATAAGTGCAAATTTTAACCAACTATAGGATTAAAGAAAACACCAACACTCAGTCACAAACTGCCAACAGCTTGATCATAAAAGAAAAAAATTACAGGAATTAAATCCTTTTTCTACAGCATAGTCATCTAAATTATTACAATAACAGCAACAAAAAGGAAAGAAAAACTGTTGTATTATTGGATAAATTAATGGAGGAAAATGGTTTTTATAGTCAAAATAACAAAATTAGAATTTTTATCATCTTTAGTTACAAAACTTAAATGGATAAACATTAGTTTCTTGTAATGATGTTACCTAATAAATGCAAATATTTAAAAGAAAGTAACCTATAAGACTTTGTACATTCTAAGTACTATGATCACGGAGCTGCTATTAATTCTAATCATAAGCTTCTGTGCCATTTTCTTTGCATGAATACAGGATTAATTTATTTTATCAATTTTTTTTTAAAGTTTAGTTTGATTTGCTCCTTAAAAATTTATAGAAACAATTCAATTTTTATGAGTTTTTTTCTAACTCTTCAAAGAAGCTCATTTTTTAAACAAGTAAGTAAACACACTCAACTTAAAATAACAGAATGAAACTTACCTAGAGGAGTTTTATTAGAGTCATAACACATTTCTTTCATAAATTCCTCCATTCTCCGGGTATCACATATTAACTCCATGAGGGCCTAAGTTACAATAATTTACACATTAATATAAATAAAATAATGATAATAAGGAAATATTTGTGCTTCCAAAAAAAAAAAAAGCTTTTAGAGATCTATATACAGTAGTTTATGTTATACTAAAGGCAAGTCTAGTAGTTTATATGAATCAATGAGACAAAAACAGGCAGTTTCTATAGAAAATTTACTGCAGATGACCAGTTTTTGAGCCCAATGATTTAGTTAATTATTGTGTTAATAGAGCATGCAGTAAGTGTGAATTTGAGTCCAAATAAGTAAAAAGAAATTTTAATTATTTCAAGTAATCAAAAAAAAAAAATTAAATCAATAGTTCAATATTTCATTAAAAAAGTATTTTTCAAAACTTATTTATCTCATTCAAGGAAACTTTCTTTCACCAAACTAGATACCCAAGTGGTGATAAATATTGTATCATTCATTTAACTTTAGGGCTTACCAATAAGATTAGGCAATAATAACCTTTTATGAAGCTTATGAACAATATTGATAATAACTAACACAATTTTGTGAAATGGTACAGAAGAAAATATTTTTGTTTTTAAATTAGCTTTTTATATACTTTTTGCTGACACACAAATGGTCTAAGACGAAACATTAAATTGAAATTTATATATTACTAAAGCCACCACAGGTAATATATTTTTATTAGAAAACTTAGATTTTTTACATGTTGTATTAGATTTTGTGAGCAAAAAAATATCATTGAATGAGGATGGAAGCACAGAGGTTGCACTAAATTGTGAAATTTTTACAAAAAATAATTGTAATAGATGTTAGAATTATTTAACTTGAATTTTTATAACTGATTACTGTTACTGACAATTCTGAGACTGCTTATTTTCCAGGTACAATGAAGGAATATTCCTGGTTTTTGGAAAAAATGCAACTTTCCTTGACTATTCCCTGCTTTTTAGAGTGAAAATAAAATTCCCTGACAATTCCAGATTCTTTCTGACCTGTGGACCCTGATTACTGTATTGCTGGTAGAAATAAATCATTTTCAAAATAAGAAAAATCAATAATTGGGAAAATGCAAAACTATACCTTACAAGATTTGTTAATGTTTTTGCAAAAAAAGCTAAATATGCCTATAACCCCTGAATTCATCACTTGAGTTCAAACTAGTAATTTTTGTAATTGTTACAAAAATATTAATTAAAATAAAAAAGTGCTGAATTGAAAGTCCAAATATTTTGATTCTTCAAATTGATTATTTTCAAGTTTGCATTGGTATTCCTAGAAGATTCGATGTTTGAATATACATAAAAATTGTCATAAAGAATATCAAGACGGAAAGGTAAAAATAACAGGACAAACATGAATAAAATATTTATACTGGGAATATCACAACAACTATGCGCATTCCTTCATTGCCATCAATAAATTAATTTTTATGCAAAACATTCCTTCAGGTATTTCAAGCATGCAAAAAATTTTACAAAATCATATACGACATAAAAATTTATAAATGAAACTGTAATTTACCAAAAGTTCATTAGCTAGCCTGGATTTTAATGTTTTGATTTCAATTTTTCTAGCTTCTTCCTGTAACAGAAAAGAGATATCTAAAATGTAAATCATGCTTAAAGCAACGAAAATCAATCAAAAATAAATCAGTCATTTGATTGAGTATTGAGATGCTGATTATCTCCTCCATCTCCTTAAGTAAATTTTTTGATGAACAGAAAAAAGATAGGATTTCCAAATTAGTATATTGGGTTTGTGTGTTTAAAATATGAATATTAAAGATGCATAGGAATGGTGTTATAAGCTATATGATAAATGGTGCATCGGGCAATAAACTTAGAAGAAGGAAATTGATTACTAACTATAAAATGATCAAACTTTATCCAAACAAAATACACTTTGATAAAACAATAAAAATAATGTATACAAATAGCAGAATACAAGAATAACAAAGCAAGATAAATAACAATGGAAATAACAAGTAAAGTAGATCGAAAAATGTAATAAAATAACAATGTAGAAATATAAAACCAAATTAAAGGGGAAAAAAATTACAAAAATATGTAGACTCAAATTCAAAATTTAAATTTTAGAGTGAATTATGATAAAACATGAGCAAATTAATGTTTATATCCGAGTAAAATAAATTTTATTTATAAGGCTCAGTTGAATGAACTACTTTAACAAGAAATCTCCTTTTAAGAAATATTATTTGAAAAGTATAAAACTACAAGGATAAGGCCTTTCTGTTCATTTTAAATATAAAATTTCTAAAATAGATATCCTGAAGAAAAAATAAGGTGAGGAAAAGTCAAGGGACAAATTTCCCTGATTTTTAAGTTGAGTTTGTGGGAGGCCTATGTAATTCAGAGAGACCATAAACAGTATATTTTATTGTGGCATAATGTGAGAATAAAAATTTATGCTGTCTAATTAGGTGGTAATAATTCAGTATAATTAATGATATATTGCTTGAAACATTAAAATAAAGCATTAAAGGTTAGCATGAATTTATAGGCAAAATAAACAAAACATATTGAAAACATCATAATGAATTTTTAATTAGTGACCGAAATAATATTTGCACTATTATATATGCATATAGATATAAAACAATGCATAAAATTTTGAAATTTGACAGTGAAAATAATCAAATATAAATATGAAGTAAATGATGAAAACTTTAAATGATAAAGCATATTATCTTGTGACATCAAATAATAAAATTCAACCTCCATTTCGCCAACAGAATATTACTTCAATATTTTACTTATGTTGTGATGTTTAGTTAAAACCACTGGTTTATTATTGCTCAACCTGAATACTTTGAAAGCAGTTGGTAACCTTAGTCAGAATTTTGTGACATTTAACTTACTGATTAGCAAAAACTGTTCTACATGTATATGAGTACTAAGGATTTCCTAATAAAGAATTTGAAAAAAAATCTGTTAAAAGAGTATATAAAATTAGTTATGATAGATTTTGAGGTTTTATTAAGATATAAACCAAAATAAAGCTTCATCTAGGAAAGGAAAATATATTTTTGATATAAAAGTAAATATTTTAATGAATTCCTGAAGCATATATCCAGACTTTAAATACTCCTCCCCCTTTAGAAACAAATAACCAAGTTCAGAATTTAACAGAAGTGTTGGCTTAATGACATAATCACTTTCTTATTCAGCAATGTGCTTATTAGTAAAACTTCTTATTTTTTTAGCAATTGTGAATAAATTTATCAGCTAGTGTTAATTTTCTTTTACTAAGATATTTAAAGATGTGGTTGGCAAGCATGTTAACAGGCTCAGTTTTTGATGTCATATAGGGGGGGACACAAATTTTACAACCCCGTGGGCATTGAAGTTTTACTGATGGGTGGAATGGAAGTTATAGCTAGTTGGCAAAATGGTTAGCAAATAGGAAAGATACTGACACATTTACACTTAGTGTAACGTGACAATTTAATCTTTAATTTTACCTAATCTCTTAATTTTCTTAAAACTTTAGTTTTTTTATGCAGCTTATATTTAGTTTAACTTTCTGTTTGACCTTCCTTATGGTCAACGTGGTAATTATACCCGCCTTTCTTTTCTTTGGGGGGGGCTAAATTAATCGATCTCTTTCCTTTGATTTTTCAAACTCTCCTTCTCTTTAAATTTAGTTGGCTATTCACTTCTGGTCCTACACCAGTTAACAAATTGTTTTAAGAGACTGAAACACATTCTCTATTTTGCGCTTCCTCGCTGATACCTTTTTTTTCCCCTCCGAGATGCGGACCTTGGTTTGTATTGAGGGGACCTTTTTTTACATCCTTTTTTTTCTCAGCCTTTATTTTACATTAAATCCATAAGCATATTCAATTTCTTTAAGTTAAAAACATCCTTTAATTTTTTTAACTTTAAAAACCCTCTTAAATTTTAACTCTCTCTCTATGAATATCTTTTTCGATAGTTGAATTTCTTATTTTCTTTATTTTAATTGTATGCATGACGCCTTTTGTTTCCTTTATTCTCTTGTCACCCATTTCCATTAAAGGTGTTCCAAATGTTAAAAATTGTATCAAAGATGTCTTTCCATTAATTATATCGCGAGTTTGTTTTTCTTAAATAAATCTTCAACTGAAGTTAAAAATGTGTGCTTCTTTGTCTCTATTGTCATGATGGTTGTCTTTTATAATTTCCTCCTGTACATGATGAGTACCTTTTTATTGTCATGGGCATTTATTTCTCTCTCTTTGGAAACATTACTAAACTGAATTGAATGAGATATTTATGTTTGGATATAGCATGTAGCATGAATTTGTCTTATTTATCTTTAATTTATTTTAGTTTCACCCTTTTTCCAAATTTGGTGATTTTATCCAATTTGTTCAAACCTCACACTTTGTGACCCTTTGAACTTATTTGGTTATTGTTATCCCACAATGGCATTGTACTACCACTTTCCTTAACGATCACATTCCCCTTAATTCAATTACTTTTCATACTATTTTCAGCCTTAATTTGTTTATTATGAAATCCAATCATTAACTATTTTTAATAATGACTATATCCAAATCCAAATATAAGTACTTATACAATATTACAACGCATCTATCATCCATTTTAATACGTAAATAAATTTACTTAAATTACACCAATATACATCTAATTTTACCTGTCACAGAGACTCATGTTTTGACATAGGAAGAAAACAATGACAGCACAAACTAGTAAAGAAAGGCCATTACGACTCAAATCATTCAGCCAAACTACAATTAGACATGTTAGATATAGATTTAGTAATAGATATAGAGCATTGTAAGCCTCCTCTACATAATTAAGTTCTCTTGTGGTAGCGAAGTTACAATTGAATTTACTTAGTAAGCAGCTGCTTCATATAAATTTAACCAACAATTAAAAACACCATATGAGAGTCAGCAGGCCATCCATAGACATGCTTATACTATTTAAATGTTATGGTAGTCAAAATCATTTTAAATCACATTTGTTAAAACAATAATCAAGTATGAATGTATAAATTTTGTCAACTACATTAAATTATATATATAATAATTAAATGTAGAGCCTATATCTCCCCTTATATACACATGTATGTATGAATGTATACATAAATTCCAGGAAAATCCATAAGAGTTGGCAGGTAGGCAATAAGCAGTTTTTTATTTTTTTTTTTGTCTATATCAAAAAATCCTAAATCAAACAGGGACTTGGGTTTTAGATCACTGTGAAAATATGTTTGTCTCATTCATACTTAAAGCTGTGTGGAAGGTTATTTTGATTTAACTTCAATGTGTACATGGCACTCCTTTAAATTTTAATGACTCACAACACTTGTAACTTATAAAACATATAATTTTAAAAAACTTATGTAGATATAAATAGCTATTTTGTAGCAAAAATGTATATTAAAATAAAACATTTCTAACAACTCTACTTTAGAAATGCTACCAATCTTTTATGGCACTTTATTGTACATTTTGATAACCCAAAGAATATTTTTTTTAAAAATTCAAAAAAAAAAAAAAAATGACAATTCGCAACACTATTTTAACAATGCTGATATTTTTATTCAGTCTCATGGTCAAAATCAATACAATTTAACATTCATTGTAATATGAAAGAATTTAATAAATAGTTATTTCCTAAAGATACCAGCAACAAAATTTTCTTGCACGCTTCAATAATTTATTCTACAGAATATCATTCTTAAACTACTATTATGAAAAGAAATCACAATATTATTGCAAAAATAAAAAAATTAAATAAATTAAAAAGGTTAAAACATCCAAATGGAAAAATGTGCTTAACAGCAAAGAAACCAAGAGGAATTAAACAAATGAGACATTGAAGAAAAATTATAAAAAAAATTGGAAAAAAAACATGACAATCAAAGCTGACGTCATCAGGGGGTACCAATCCTGAATTGTCATAAAATGCAAAACCTTTTCTATCCAGAAAAGTTAAGAAAAAAATCAAAAAATTCGCTTTCTCTGTACCCCAAAAGTTTTGCCCAGGTCCAGAAAAATACAATAATAAATAGAAATATATGATATACAATACAGTAAATTACAGAAGCATAAAACATTAGAATAAACGTCAGCTTTGATTGCCATGTTTTTTTTCTAATTTTTTAATAAGTTTTCTTCAATGTCTCATTCTTAAACTACAACTGTTATAATTTCTAAACAAAAAGTTATATTGTTTAAATAACGACATTTAGAAAAACTGAAGATAAATATTTTTTTACTCTTACCTGTAATGTTAACACCTCTAAAAATACAGTACAGAACCCGTTATCCAGAAATCAGAAAACCGGAAAACCAAAAAACCGGAAGGAAATTCAATACATTTTCCCGCCATTTTTTTTAAAAAATGTTTTTTTTCCTCATAAGATTTTAGAATTTTTCTTTCTTTTTTGAAAGATGTTTACCTTACCATCATTTTGGAAATAATCATTAGTGTATTACTTCATCGTTTTTTCTTCTTTTTAAGATTATTTCCAAATATTTTTTTTTTTTTTTAGTTGGGTTTAACAATAAAAAAAAGGCTTTTTGTAGCGATTCAGAAAACCGGAAAAATCAGTTATCCGGAATAGCGATGGTCCCGATCGTTCCGGATAATTGGTTCCCTACTGTATTGTATTTTATAATTATTAATGAATCAAAACATAATTTTTAAAATTTTTAAAAGCAATTTTTAAATAAAACTTTTAACAAAAAAATTAATCATTTTAAGATAAATAAAATGCATTTGGCATTGTTGACACATAATGTGACAAAACGCTTTTTAAAACATAATTCTTAAAAACATAATTTAAAGTTTTTATATTTTCATTTACACAAACTAACAAGGAAAAGCAAAGAAAACAATATTTAAATAGAAAAGAAATCATTATGACTATCTTACTTGTGGAGCTAAATTGATTTGAAGCAAATCATATTTTCCTTTAACATGAATGAAACTATCAGCTTCACTCCAATTATTTCTAGTTTTATCATAAAATCTGAAATAAATTAAACAATTTAGAAGTTAACTCCACGAGTAATAATCTTACTATAATTTTTATCAATATATAATCTTAGTTCAAAGAAAAATTAAATAAGTAAAAGAACTAATTAAACTTCAGACAAATGAACAAACTAAGAATAAATACAAAACACAGAATTCAGTTCATTTTTAATATTTCATGCATATTATAAAATTTCAAAAACTATAAAAATATTTGTATTAACTCTTTTTTTTTTAAATTAACTGTTTTTGTATATTTGTGAAAAACTTTATCAAAAACGAATTAACTGAAGTAATACTAGACAAATTTTAACCATAAACATTTGCAATTACTATTAGAATTGACTTTTAAAAATTTAAACATGAGATTAATAAAATTTAGAACACACATCTTTCATCTAACATTTCTATTATATATCATGATTAGAATACCAAAATTAAATCAAATATGTCTGGTAATTTATATAGATATAGTGTGATTCGGTGGAGAGGGATTTTCTTGCAATTAATGAAAAGAATTGGAGATCAAAGATAAATCGGAAGTTGTTACGGAGGAAAGCATTGGTCCACATTGGGCTGTCTGGCCAACTATGATGATGATGACACTTACTAGCTTATTTGTTGCAAAAATAACCCCTTATTGTTGTTCAATGTCTGTTACAATTAATTTACAGCAGCAAATATTTTTCAATACAAACAGAGACCCATTACCTTTTCAGAAATATCAGATTGTTTATCAAACACATAATATATTAAATTTTGCGCACAGTTTAATGCTTCTGAAAAAGTTAGAGTTTTCTCAATGTTATTAGTAATAACTTTCTCTTCACTCTTGTCCATTATTTCATGCTTCTGGAGGTTGTTTTAATCAATTAATTTCCATAGTAAAAATGTATCATAATCAGTCTTTAAAACATTCCCAGTTCAATCTCAATATAAGAATAACTTGCTAAGAAAAGATAAGTCATTTTGACATACTTCACAAATTTTTTTACTGAAATGCCAGATTTAGTTCAACAAATATTTTAAGGGCAATAATCTATTAAAATATTAGCTATTACAACTAGAAGAAATGCGTCCCTTTTCAATGATGATTGAAAGGGTATTCAAAAAGTTGCCTCAAAACATCAGAAGCAAAAAAAACTAATATTGTTTGAAGAATAGAAAAGCCCTTTAGTTTCTCCGGGTGACCAACACCACTAAAGATTAAGGTTAGCTTCTGATACATTTTTTCCCCCAATTCGGTGAAATTCAAAAAGGCACAGAAAATTGGAAAGAAAAAAATTCTTTTCGTAAGCTTTCAATGTGGTCTGGTTACAAATGTTTTGCCCCTTTATGATGGTAAATTTCATTCTTATTAATTTAGGTCAAAAAGCAGGTGGTTCCAGGTGTCACTGTATTACAATCTAAGAAACACAAATGAAGAATCAAATATGAACTTTAACATTTAAACAAGTTTATTGTTTTCTGAATATAGGAGTTAAAGTTAACTTAAAAATATGAGCCTAATGATGATGAATAAATATGAGCCATAATTTAATGACTACTTACAGACTACACACTTTATAGTTTTCAAACTAAATTATTGTTAAGGTTAATTATTAGTTTTGTACTCAAAAATAGATTCTGTGCATTTGATTTTTTAAGTTGAATGGCTTATTTACTCCTAAAACTAATTCTCAAACTTCCTTTCAAAAAAGAAAAAGAGTACATGAAAAAGTAAAATAAGATCCTTTAAAATTATAATAACAATTTTAAGATCAGCGTAGACAATTAAAATATGATGTCCACACTCCATACAGCAATTCTTTCTGTCCAAGCAAAAACAGATGATGCTCCTATATTGTGAGTAGATGAAAATGTGAATATTTATAACTAATAAATGCTAAATTTTGGCTTATACTTAATTTAGAAACAAAATAAATGATAATAAGGGCACATGCTAAACGCAAACATGTTGCAAGCAACCATTTTAATTAAATAACATAAGTCTAGCAAACTGTCTAATCAAAATAAAATCTAAACAAAATCTATCAGATATGAATACCACATGTTTTAACTCAAAAATAAACTACTCAAGATAATCACATCAAAAATATAAAGAAAAACATATAAAGAAAAATATAAAGAAAAAAAAAGAGGTTCCTAAATTTATTATACTCCTCAGAAAGCAATTTAAAAAGATAAAGAATACACTAATGGATGTATACCAGAAATTTTAATTTTCAAATGAAGGTATAGTTTGTCTAAGCTAAGAACTCCTCCCGCCACAAAATCTCAGGCTGTCCGGTTCTATGGAAACAAGAATGTCACATTTTATGGAGAGTAGTTTCACTCTAGGAATTAACACAATAGACCGAATAAAGAAATTCCTACGACCCGAGCCATAACCACTCTAAAACAGTGACCCCGCACCTCTACATGAAATAGTCGTACCTCGTTACCATAGTCACCGCCACAGGTTCAGACGATTGTCTGGAGGAGTCCTTATTTAAGACAAACTATATAACATTTTGTTTTGATAGTCAATAATGTTAAGCAATCTATTATTTCACCAACTTTCGGACTTTAATGATCGCCTGGAATAAAAATACAAGGTTGTTCCTTTATTCAAAATGTTACTATGTAGTCACTATGTAGTAGTGTATTACTGTGTAGTAACAGGAAAAAAAAAAAAAAAAAAAAAAAAAAAAAAAAAAACAGTGGTTTAAATAATTCTTTTTAAACTGTTGCTATCAAAAGACTTGCTTTTAATGGAAACATTTTTTTAGAAAGCCCAAAAATGTTTAAGGCTTGTTTAAGTGATTTTTTGGAAAAGAAAAAAATTTAAACTAAATTTTGGTGGCTACATTGGTTGAACCACTTAGTTCAGAAATTCTAAAGGACTTTAAAATAATGTATCCACAGAATAAATTACTGGGCTTTGTGTATCTGTTGTTACAATCAAAGACTGCTCGCTATAATATAAGGGCCATACTAAAGACTGTTTCACATATTAACAGGATGAAAGACATTTAATATATGAGAAAACATATTTCTTTTTTAGACTTTCCATAAAATTTGTAAAAAAGAGTAAAAAATTTATCTTTTAACACATGCAGAAATTTTTAAAAAAATGTTGGCAGTAAAATCTTATCTCAGAAAAAATAGAACTTACAAACTTAGTTTACATAAAAGAAAAATTCCTTTCACGACGTGTCAAAACAGATGATTTTTAAAATAAGCAAAGAAGAAACTTATCTTATGATTATAAAAAAGTCATTTGTGAGCTTCAAATATAAACTTACTTTCCTTCAAATTCAATTTTTGCTTCAGAAAGACTTGTACCATATTTATTCAAGCTTGTTTGTCCACGTTGTCCAACACGACCCCATCTACGCCAAACATAATATTGCTCCTTGTCATTATGTTTCAATAGTTGAATAAAATAAAATTTATTATTATTATTCTGCAAGTTAGTTTGATTTAGAGTGGCAGAAAAAGCAGTATTTTCCGAATAAACATGGAAATCAGCTCTAATAGGACATTCAGCATCAACTGGAACATCACTGAAAGTACTTTCCTTTCCATTAAGGGAACCAAGATTATCTTTGATTTTTGAAATTCCAGGCACAGGAAGAATAACATCTTCATTTTCATCATTCGCTTTAGTTCCTTTTCGCCTTTTTTTATTTGGTAAGCTAGTAACATCTGGTATAGGAGACATATTATCAAATAACCTTTTAAGACTGAAAAAAAAAAACATTTAAAAACATTTTAAATATTTGAAGTAAATATAGAAAAAATAATGACAGAGAATATACTGGACAGATAGACAAATATTATAAGTTACAATAATGTCTTATGTCAAAAATGCTCATTTTAATCACAGATTTTATAACGCTCAGGAATTCATTTTAGTATGTATTTTTTTTATTGCTAGCATACCAGAAATGTGGCACTGATGTTTGATGATGTTTTATTTTGACTTACATTATAGAATCTCTGTTTATTGTGATTTATTGCAGATTATTTTGCGTACATATTTGTTTCACAATAGCTATCAAAACAAAGATGGCAAATAACGAAAAGTGATACTACTACTTCTTAGCATCTTTATGGACATGAAAATGAACAATTTGTAAACGAAATGCGTAAACAATTAATTTCTTTTAGCTTTATCACATACTAGATGCAGACTTAGATTAAATTAAAAACTTTCTGCAAATAGAAAATCTCAATTAAAAAGCTTCCTACAACCAATTATAATTAACTCTTAAATATCACGACATTAATCAACTCTTAAAACTAGTTTAAACACCTTGATCGTCACCTATTTAGGCAAAATTTGTTTGAAAAATCACTGATTCTTTTAAGAAATGTCTTAATACTTATAAAACAAATTTTATATTAAATATTATAAATACCAGCATGTCAGAAAGTTAAATGCAATGATTTAATCACGAGTTAAGTGCTGCTCTGCAAATTTCAAATATGAATAATCACTTTATTACCCACTAAATCCACAATGGTATTGACATTTCCCCAATCCTTTCCTCAGTAATTATTATAATTAATTATATTTTTTTTCGTAGTATCGAAAATCTTGAAACACAGTTGAACTCAGATTTACAGTCATTCATAAATAACAACTTCCTGTTATTAATGTCTTTTCAGTTTTGTCCCCTGTCATATAATATATCAATAAAATAAAAATCCTGGTACTTAAAGCAACTTCTAATACTATTTGCCTGAAATACCAATGTTCTGAGTTAATTTTCAACCAACTGTTAATGGTTACATTTTCACGTAATGTCAAGCAGCCACAGAAGCAAATGAGACCAGAAAAAAAATTTGCATGTTGGTGGCTCAGCTACTATAAGAATGTAATGTCAAGCAGCCACAGAAGCAAATGAAACCAGACAACAAGTTTGCATGTCGGTGGTTCAGCTACTATAAGAAATAATAACCCCGACTTTAAAATTGGATAAAATCCTTCTAAGTCCCCAATTTGAATAGGAATATGGGAATATATTTATTTCAGTTTTTTTTGAAGGTCAGGGAAGAGAAGAAGAAAGGCATGTAATGTGACTTGTGAATCAAAGGCAATCTCAATAGCTGAAATTAAGGAGTGTAGTAGTGATGAAGATTGAATCTTCATATCCACCACCATCATTCAATATAACAGCAGTTATGCTGCAGGGACTGAAATTTTTCTTCCTAAGACACGAAGAGCAAAAGAAAGAAATGGATACTTCAGAATTGTAGGAAAATTCATGTACTTTAAGACAACAAAAAAAAGGGTAAATAAACAAAAATGTCAGGTTTTTCTTTTTAATAAAATAAATGAATAAATTCTAAGTTTCAGATAGTACTTAGGTGTTTAACAAACTATAATTAAATTTGTACACACTTAAATTTTAGTTTTGAAGGGAATTATCATGTTCCTTTTATTTACGACATTCTTGTCCAGTTTGATGAGCATCTTTAAATAAAAGGTCTTTTATATTTTAAATATAATATAATTAATCAGAACTGTGGAGTCAGAATCAGAATCAAGCAGATTTTTTAGTAAAAGGAGTCATCATAGAGTTGCTTAAAACATGTAGATTCAAACTTCTTTTTTGGGGCAGTTAAAATTTGAAAAAAAAAATTAAAACAAAGTGAGTTATTTTTGTTTATGAATTATAAACATTAATAAATATTTGGTTATTCTTTATTTTATTGACATATAATAATTTAATGAAGAAAAAACAAGCTAGTTTGCTAGACAATGAGATCTTACAACGTTCAATATATGTATATCCAAAACACTGAATTTTGTTGGATGACAGACAAATTAAAAAGGCAAAGAAAGCCATTTATGAACTTTCACTAAGAATGAAATTATTCTCAGAAGAATTGGAGAATTCAAATCAGGACAGTCAGACTGCAGACAATGCAACTAAGTTTCTATCATTGCATCCTCATCCAATAAGGAATTAAGATTTTATGAAATAATTAAATAACATTAGAAAAGCTAAGGCAAAAGTGGATGTAAAGAAAAGCCTTTAGATATAAAAATGAAAAAATACATACAAAATTTCTACACAACCCTTGAAGAAATATAAAAGATTGCTTTTGCAAGACATCTCTCTTAGAACCTAAACAAATATATGCTGAAAAGTTAAAATAAGTAGCCCTAACAATAATGGTTCTTCCTCGTACTAAAGTTTGTGAGAAAAGGCTATTCTCACCCCTGAAGTTTATCAAATCAGATCAATGGTCCTCAATTTAAAAGAATCTTGCTGAAGCTATACTGATTCTTAGAAATAACTAAACCAGTTTTTCAATTTCGTAATTAACGCTAATTAATATAATATTCAGCTATGTCACCAACTTTTTTGTAACATCTATTACTTCTTTTGCATATAAAAAAATAAACTGTAACATGCCTATATGATAATATGAGGGAGTTGGAGTCTGTCCAAAATTCCGGGCGTCAGAGTAAGAATTGCTCATTTTCCCTACTGAGTCCACAGCCCTATAATTACTAACAAATTATATACTGCACACTTGAATAATTAATTTTTGATTAGCCCAATTTTGACTATTTCAATAAAATTCATGTTTTTGTAGATAGTATATTAAAGTATCAAGTACTTGATGATCATTGACATTAAATGATGATCTAGGCCTTCCTTAACTTTTCCCTATTCACAAACAATTTCAATTAAGATTCCTTTGCAACTCCCATTCCCCATAATATTTTTTAACCCTCAACCTAAGCAGGGCCACAACTAAGCATTCGCTATCTCGACAAATCGTAAATTTTTTCGAAAATAATTGAGTCTTGGCAAATTATTTTTTCAACTGAAAATAAAAATTTATATACCATTTGATCATGAAAAAAAGTCTAAGGGAATTTTTCAGAATGAATCCTGTATGTTTTTTATTTGATAGCAGTAATTTCCAGTTGATACATCTATAACCAATCAGAATTATATTAAGTCCAAAAAACACAAGCACTACGAGGGATTATTTAAGGACGAGACAAACTAAAAACAAAAATACAGATTGCCACCTTTGCTGGATCAAGAGTAGAATTTTATCCTATGGTTTATGTTAACAAAACAGATTAAGTGGTAGCAAGATGCATCCAACTAATTTTGCAGAAAATGTTTTATTGTAACAATAACAAAAGGTTTTTTGTGACAATAACGTACTGATAACATAATGTTGCTTCAGGTTTATCCTCATATTACAGCTGTTAAAAAAAAACTAATTGGAAAATGAAAGTATCAACTAACCGTTGAAACAGGTTTATACCAGATTCATAAAAAAATTGACAATCTGTACTTAAAGACAATAGAAAATTAGTAAGAAAAAGATTTTTTTACCTATGGTCTGCAAAATACTATCAATTTTAATTTACCATAATTTCTCATGAAGAAAAAAAAACTACTTTATTTCAGTATATTCAATCTCTACTACTCTAACTTAACCATCACGACTTTGTAATATCTTGTTCACAACAGCCATTGGCCATTCGAGTTGTTTTTGGTTCTCAAGATCCACAAAGACTGCATTTCTTACTTTCAGTGTTCCACTGACAGTGCTAGATCCTTGTACAAATTGACTGTGATGCCACAATTGGCATTACATATTTCCTAGCAATTAAAATATCTTTAGTTACTTAAACTTGCCTTTTTTTAATCATTCTTAATCGAATTATATTTAAATTAAATCTATTAGTTAATTTTTTAATTTGAAGCGAACATAGAATATTTTATTCTTTTCTTATCGATCAATGTAACAGCCAACTTCTTATTTCAATACTAATGCAGACTCATTAATTCACTGACGCGCCTAATCGAAAACAAAAATCGATTTATAAGTCTTCATTCATTAATTTCTTAATACAAATATGTTTGTTGCATGGTTATGCTAATTCTCACAGTCTTGTTGGCGATTCGCGATTGCCAAAGTATTTTCAAACTTCATATTTTTTTGGCTATGCTATTTTTCAATAAATCACCAACCATGGATCTCTTCTCATGATTCTAAATGTCTGTTGGGAGCAATGCAATTACTTTTTTAATTTGGCTTTTAAATAGGCAGGTCATGAGGGATTTGTCTCTCATGGCCTGCTCTTTTTAATATTATTATTCAAAATTTATTATTCAACTTAGAAAGTCTTATTATCGATATTAAATATATTTGTATCTCGAGCTCTACAAATACTACCAAATAAAAGTTTTATTAATTTATGATCCAGTTTTCATCTTCAGCTGTCATTTTCATTATCCTGTTTTCATCAACATCTTCAACGAATGGTAAATTCATAGAACTTCTTAAACTTATGGCAAAAACATCCAACCTCTTCAACTTCCAACCACACTTGATTTCGTCTTCACATTGACTCAAGTATTCTCGATGGAATCGACCCCTTAGCTCTTTCCAAAGCTTCTAGCAGTACTGGTTTCAGAGTTGCAACTTCTTGCTGTCAATCCCGCCAATATCAGGAACACAAAGATCTGGATCTTTTAACATAAGTTCTTTTCTGTGAAAAAGTTCAAAGTGTCAAAAGTTCTTTTCTGTGAAATTTGTACCACTGTCAGCATGCACAATTGAAGGAAGTCCCCTTCCAGCAAAATAAATCTTCTTAATGCTAGTATAAAGATCTTAGTGCTGAGGGAGGTAAATAGCTCTAAATGTATTGCATAACAAATCGCACAGGTAAATAGCACAATCCAGACTTTCTTTTTGG